AGGGGACCCTAATGACTAAGTATCTGCTTGACATTTTCTCTTCCCCAAATCCCTTCGGCTGATCCTTGTCAGCCTCTGTTGCTGATTCCTCTTCTGCTTCTCATCCTGATAAAATCAGATTTCTATCCTTGGCCTTTATATCATGCCCTTACTCACTCTTCTGGTGCAGTCCAACTCCCTCCAAGGTCACACTTTGTCCAATGACTCCAGATCTTCACCTCCACACAGGCTACCGAGAGCTAACATGTAGCGTATTTGGGGGATCTACCGTGTGCTAAGCACTGTTCTAAGCAGTTTTACTTACATTATCTTTTCTGATTTTTACAACAATCTGGTGAGGGGTCTATTAACATGCTATTTTACTGAGGAAAGAGAGAGGGGGGGGAAGAGAGAGAGACCAGGTTGTCCAAGTTGAAATCTAGGCTCTAAACACTAAGCTGTGCTCTTTGAAGAAATCCCCACCTGCAGAATCTTCATTCATCTTGGACTCACTGTGCCCTAATACAACTCACAATCCTTTCTCCCCTGATGTTCCCTCTGTGTTTCTGGGAAGAGTCCAGGCTTGATGGTACCTATAGTCTCTATAAATAGGCAAAAAGGAAAAATAAATAATAAGAAAATACGGGACGCGAAATTAGGTTCAGGGCCTTGAGAGTGGCCCAGGAAAGGGAGGGATCCTGGCACATAACCCGTATCAACTTCTTAGTGACTCTTCCTCTCTACATGCGGTACCTCAGTGACTAGCATCTACTTACTTCTAACAGAGACCAGAGCCTTCTTAACCATTTCCAGTCACTTCTCTTCCCTTCCTCATCCATAGGGAAGCAGATATGGCATCCTACCAATCCTCTTCCAGTCTCTGGAATCTGTATTCCACCCCAGTATGGCACAGGTCTTCAGCATAGCTCACTTGGACAATCTCCGTCATCAAACTCTCATTCCTGCTTCAGCTGGATTTTCTCTAACACATTTCCTGTACACAGCCAGGTGACTGTCAGAATCAGGCACCTCATTAGCCCTCTGTTCTCTGCCTAGTGTCTAAATTCTCAAGCCTACCCTTCCCCAACTCTACTCAACTGTATCAGCCTCCCATCTCACTGGGCTTTTCTTCTGTTCCTTTTTCAGCAAATAATTATTGAGTGCTTGTTCTTGAGTACTGTTATTGAGTGTTGATAACGTGGTAACTGGGTTCCAAGCACTGAAGGAACAGCAGAGAACAAGATCAGGTCTTTCATACCCCATGCCCCACCACACAAAATAGCTTATAGCTTCCAGACTATGAAAGGCTATGTCAGTCCCCTTGCCTCTTTCTGGGATGCAGGGAAGGATTTAAATTCACTGATCATTTGACTAATCACCATTTGTACATGGTTCACAGTGCCATCTCCCCTACAGAGCATTTCCTGATTGTGTTTCACCAGCAGCAATGAATCCCTTCCTATTTCATACCCCACTATGCCTCTATCTTCTCTCAGATGAATGAATCTACTTGACTATGAGCAGTTCTTCTGCATATCACTTCAGAGTGAACTCTGGCCTGAGACAACATTTTCTTCATCTCTGTATCCCAAGTACAACCTAATATATAATGAATACTAACTGTCCACCTGTCCTCACACAGACACACACACACTCATCTACCCCATTCATCCATCCATCCATCCCCCATCCATCCACATATTCTGAATATCTTCAGAGTGTAAGCTTGTATTTTGGCAGGCTCTCTGGATACAGAGAAGAATGAGAAAAGCAAGGCCGCTGCTCTCACTAACCATCAATTCTAGTGATGATGTAGACAAAGAAAATAAGCAAGATAGTGAGTGAGAGAGTAAGTGAGTGAGTGAGTGAACGAGTGGGTAAGTGAGAAATACTACAAAGTAAATTAAACTAAGTTATGTCCCAGAGCATACTATTTTAAAAGAAAGAGTCAGGACATCTTAAATTTCCATTTGTGATGAGATCCAAATGGTAAGGAAAGAACCGGGCAAGCAAAGAGAGACAGAAAGTCCCAATGTGGGGAGGTACTGGGGGCTGAAGTAACGGAGAAGAGCAGAGTAAGCAGGACAGGGATGGGGTGCAGATGACAGGAGTGAAAACATGGAAAATTTAAGAAGTCTGGCAGACCAGATTTTTATTGCTTTTTCTAGCATTTAGCTATGTATCTAAGACACTGGACAAATCATTTCTCATCTCTTAGCCTCAGTTTCCCTACCATGAAATGGGGACACAAGTACATATGGGTTTGGGGAAGGAAGATTAAATAAGGCAGTTCAGTAAAATTCCTGGCATGCAATAGGTAACATTATTAGGAAACAGTGTTAGGAAACATTATTTCCTTTTATTTTCTTACTTTAAATAAATAATGATACAGTTGCCTCCAAGTTCATTGGTAGCATAAGAAAGTGTCAGTGCTCTAACAGTGTGAGAAAACGGCAAGGGTCACATGGTGAGTCTCAGTTCCCCATTTTGTTTATATCCAAATTGATATTTCCCTTTTGTGATAATAACAATATGCAAGCCAAAAGCTGAAACAACTCCACCTCTTGTACACCCAGAATCCAGGGTGGGAGAGCAGAGCTGCCAAGGAGGCAGAGCTGCATTCCTCAGCAAGTGCAGTCTGCAGAAGGGACCACCGGCATCTCTCTAAGGCTTACGAACCAAGGGTGACAAAGGAACACAGCAGGAAAGAAGCAGAGGTCAGGCGAAGCTATGGGGGCCTGGTCCAGTGGGCCTTACAGGCCTGCCTGCCTTTTCCTGCATGCACGCAGCAGACTTAGCATCACACGGCTCACTTACTTTCTGTTTTCATGCAGTTCTGTCTTTCCCTTCTTTTTCTTTTCCTTTAAAAACAAAATTGAAAATCATGCCAGATGATTGACTACCCAGTAAGGGGTGGGGGGCGTGAATGCATTGGAAACTGGTTTTCTGCAAAGCCAGAAAGTTCTGGTTCTAGGAAGGCTCACCCTTCCAAGGCTCATCAACCAAAAAGCTGCTGTTTTACTGTGAGGCTGCCTGAGGAAAACACACACACACACACACTCCCTGGCCCCAGTTTCGCTCCACCCCCAGTCCCCAACCCCAGGAAATAGATTTCTCAAAAGGCAGGGTTAGATATGAGTCACAGGCAATTCTGTTTTGTTTTGGAGCATAAGGCCTTCTACTGTTTGACCCAAAAGGAGTTACTGAGAAAATACAGTCCTGACTTCAAGGGAAATCCCCACATCTATATGGTGGCTTGGGAAGAGCATGTCCTTTTTCTCTGTTCTCTGGAGAGGCATAGAAAGGATGTGTGTGTGTGTGCATGTATGTGTGCAAGTGTACTCATGTTCACAGGTAGGGAGTGGGAAGGGAAACTGAGGCTGTTAATATTTGGTAACACAACTTGTCTCTGGGGCTTTTAAACTGTCCTCCAGGAGCTGTAGCCTTTGGAGAGAGAAAGCAAGGGAACCCACGGCGCAGTTCAGCCTGTCCACCATACCTCACAGCACCCTGTCCCCAGCTAGGGCCATGAGGGATGGTGGTGAGGACTACTGCTCACACAACACAGCGTTCTGCTTATCCCTCAAATCGGCTCAGTCTAGGCAGAGAACTGAAATAGGGACCCCCTCCATAGAGCATCATGGTGGCAGAGGTGAAAGGAACTCCTGAATCCACAAGAGTAAGTCCCATGGCTCCCTGGAGATGGGGGAGATGAAACCTCAGGAAGAATCTGAGTGGGGAGCTTTTGTTCCCATTCATTTCTCAGGTGGAGAGGATGTGTCCCTGTCCTTGTGGTCCACCTGCAGCCTGCCCATCCTGCTTACTGTTCAAATTCATGGGAAAGGATGGAAGAGAGAGAACCACGGGAAAGCCTAGGAGCTGAAAAGCAGCCACAGCTCTGATGGTGAGCACTGCCAGCGGGTTGGCTCCGCCCACCGCTTCCATCCTCAGTCACTGAGAAGCTGCCACACAGCCATTCTGCTGACCAGAGGGGCCTGTTCAACACCCCATGAGTCCCAGCTCCTATCTGAGGAAGGAGAGCACTTCTCTCTGCCCTGAATCTCAGGGCGGCAGGTGAGCATGGAACAGTCCTAGGCAAGAGAGTGACACAAAGCACTGCACAGAGAAACCACAGGAAGAAGAGAAAACCAGACGGTCATGAGGTCAACAGAGACACTTTTCCTGGACCACAGATTAGACGGACACCTACGCCTGCCTGTTAAGAGAAAAGGGAACAAGACAAACACATATTCTTAGCAGAGTGGTTATTAGAAAGGAAAATCTCCCAACATGTGTCCTGGGTAGATACAAGTGAGGGTCATCTGAGATCACAGTCCTGGTCACTACCCTTCCTTAAGCTCAGCACAGCAAAGATGCTATCAACAGTACAGAGAGAGTCAATAGTGCAGAGAGATTCTCAAATAAGGATAATTATTTGAGAAAGTCAGAGGGCTACAATGCAAATAGGCATATTATAGTAGATACGAGCATATTTAAGGAGGTCGAGGCCAGAGGACTTCTGCTTATAAGGACAAAAATGAGAAGGGTTACAGAAGAGACTTTTAAACAATAATCTTTGGCATAAAGATTAATAACAAGGGTAGTGGCAGTCCCTGCTTGAATCTGGACTGCTGCTGGGAAGATGTCCCTGCAGAAGTATTTTTTTTTTTACAGGATTGCAATGGCCCTTATGCAAGGTTGTGGTTCCAGCAGAGACTTTTGTGATGGTTACTGTTACCAAGAAATCTGCCTTGAGACTCCATGCTGTAACTGCCTGACTCCTTTTACTTATTTATTTGTTGTCATTTCTGGCACAAGCTACTTGGTTTTGATTCTGACAATGTTCCTGCTCGAAGAGAGAGCACTGAATGTCTCAGAAAGATGCCTGCACAGTAAGGCTTGGGGCTAACAAGGTTTATCCACGCAGGTCACCTGCAAACCCAAGAAATGTGAGCTGCTCCCATGGCCCTGTTATGACCTGGCACATTGCTGTCTTTCCCTCCTCCTCTCCTTCTCCTCACCTCCAGGTCCGTTCTAGAAGAGTGCGTCTTTAGAAAAGTATGTGGCTTTTCCCTGGGGGTGGCAAAGCTGAAAGCCCATTAGCCTGTGGGTCCTTAGCTGGCCTGGGCATTAGAGACCCCAGTGAGTCTTCGCTGAGCTCCTGCACTGTGGGTTGTGCCAGGAGGGCCACGGGAACAGGTACCTGGGGCCGCGGCGACTCTCACCTGGGTGCTCATCAGTCCCTCTTAGTGAGAGCCTGGGAAGATGATACAAAGCGTCTCTTGAACATGAATTCACACCTTTGCCCTGTCTAGATCCTATCTGCTCATTTCCTGCTGTGTAACTATAGAGTCATTCCCCCTTTGTCAGCACGGGCTGGGGTGTTGTTCATAAGATACACCCTCAAACTGAAAACAAGAGCTCAGTAACAGTGCTCACTCCCTGGAGATGCACTGCAGATGCTCCAAATGCACGTGCCAGACAAGCGCGAACTAGTGGCACAGCAGGTGGGCCACAGAGATGGGTCAGTTACTGAGTAGAGAGGAAGATGAAAAGAACTGTGGTTTTACAGTTTGGCAGGTAAAGGGAGCTCAAAGCTCCTTGTCTCCCTGCCCTTACCACACCACTGCCCTCTCCTTGTATTGGCATTGAGTTTTCAGGGGCTTCAGTTTATCAATCTGTGAAATGGGAACCCTAGAGTACAATTCTTTCCTTGTGGTATGAGAGATAGGGGTGGCTCTGGTGGGCCTTTCTGCAGCCTCTCCTCTCTATCCATTGCCCTCTCTCTCCTTGCTTCTGCTTGTTCTTTCTCTTGTCCCTACTCTCCTGGTCAGTCCTCTGTCCCCATTCATCTCTCTCTCCCCGCTAGGTAGGATGACAGAGCATGTGCATCTTTCTGGTTAAGAAGTTTTGCTCTGCAGAAACAGCCAATTTATGATCCTGCTCTTCCCTGCTGGGGACAGTGTTTATTTACATTTAGGCACACGAAGAGAGAGGCTTAGCTGTGAGTTCCTGAGGCCAGGAAAATTACAGTGATACATAATGGGGCTGCCCTCACTGAGGTGCTGAGCTGGTACTGGGGCCAGGCAGTCAGTGGCCGCTTGCTGAGCTCAGAGTGGAGGTGTGGGGAAGCGAATGTCAGAAGGGTCCCCCTGATCCCAGGGTGAACTTGCTGAGATATTCCCAAGTCAGAAAAAGAGAAAGACAGAGGGACAGAGGAAGGCCAAGCAAGACAGAAAGAGACAGAGACAGAGAGGCAGAGATGCACATGGAGACTGTTACTTTTCTTGTTACTGAGACCAAATTCCCAATACCCGCAAGTTACGGTAGGAAAGATTTATTCAGCTCAGAGTTTGTAGAGGTTTCAGTCCATCACTGGCTGGCTGTAAAGCGGGGCAGTACACGGCAGAAGGGCAACACAGAGGAGAAACAGTTCATGGTGGGTGTAAGTTAGCAAAGCAACAAGGGACGAAGCAAACCTCTTTCTGTCCCTTATAGTATATCCAGGCTACCGGGATGAGGACGGTGCCCAGCCAATTAGTTGACTGATTTAGTATCATCCACCCTTAATCCCAGCATCTTTAATCCTAGCATTGCACTATAAATCAATTACATACTTTAGATCCAGCTACCTCTGAAAGAATCCCAACCTATGACTGCATAAGTCTTTGAGGGAACATCTAGACATTAGCCATTACAGAGACAAAAAGAGATAGAGACAGAGTGAGACAGCAGTGATAGAAAGATATAGATACAGAAAATTAGAGACAGAGGTATACACACAGACAGACAAAGAAAGAGAGACAGACAGAGTTAGCAGTTAGCAAAGAGATAAACCAGAGGGGAGAGAATCCAAACATCAAAAGGGAAAGGAGAAAAAATACTTGTTTCTGAATAGCTTTTAAAATGACAAATTCAGTGTGCACAGAGGGGCACAAGTCTAACATCTCATCATGCCTTATTTTTGTGGTGTTTTTCTTTGTCTATCCCTAAGTGAATGGTCTGCGGCAGCAGGTGCATGACGTCTAGGGCAGGTACCATCAGAACTGGCATCAACTCACTAGGTTTTGGTCCCAGACTGAACCTCCTGCATCTTTCTGGGGTGTAGGATGGTTGAGAGGCACACTAGCCAAGACCATGAAGCTTATCCTAGAGAGCCCAGTAATACAGTGATCTGTCTAGGGTGTCTCTCATCCCTCTGCTCCCTGGATCCCTATGCACTAAAAAGACATCATATTATCTGATTGTGTGTTGTTCCAGACAGAGATTAAGATGATGTCAGAATGAAGTTATGGGCTTGGACTAATCCAGAGCCCAACTGAAATCTGTATCTGCCATTTATAAAATGTGCATCTGAAAGTCTGAGACTCAGTCTTCCCATCTGTAAAATGGGGATACTAGTATTACACTAAGCATTATTAATAATATTAGCATACTATTAAGTAAGAAGATTGTTTTGGTCACCACTCACAACCCATATCTATACACACTGTACTGTGTCAGTGTTTTGCACTCGTGATCTGTGTGGGTCCTCACAGCGTCTCCACCAAGTGAGGATCACACAACACCCTCTCTCTTCAGGTGATGCTTAGAAAGGCAGAAAATTAAAGTTACTGCTAAAAGCGAGCCTCCAGAGCTCTTCCACTGTAGTGAAAACATTAGGTGACCAAGAAACGTTAGCTTGCATTCTCCCACCACCCACTGATGTCCAGTTTTCTGTGTGGAAAGGCTGCTCCCTGCAGTGAGACCCCAGCCTGCATTGTTGTCAACCTTTTGTAAAAACAACTTATTCCTAGCCAGAAATGGGGGAGCAGGGGAATAGCACTTTCGTCCTCACTTACGAAGTCTGCAGAATGATTTAGATCTTCAGCGCCCCCTAAAGGCTCATGTGCTGAAGAGTTGGTTCTCAGCCTATGGCTCTCTTGAAAGGTGGTGGAACCTTTAAAAAGCAAGACCTGCTGGAAGGCAGTTAGCTCACTGGGGTGCACCCCGGAAGGGGATCTTGAGACCTTGGTTGCTTACCTTTCCTCTCTCGTATTCTCTGTCTCCATCTGTCTTTTTCTGTTTCTCTGTCTCTCTCTGTCTGTCTGTCTGTCTCTCTCTCCCTCTCTCTGTCTCTCCTTCCTGGCTACCATAAAGCGAACAGCCTTCTGTACCACTTACTCTCACTATCAGGTTCTCTGCCGCCACTATAGACAGCATTTCCCAGTCCTCGTCCCGTTCCAAGAAGTTTATATTTCTAATCCTATGGAAACATTATTGGAATGCTAACAAGTTATTTGCAATCTACCACTTCCAGTACAACCCATGGTAAGAATAAAGATGCTAAGGCATATTTGTACTTGCAGGGAGCCCAGTCCAGCTAGGGTGATGGCTAACTGAAACAAAGGCCTCGAGCCAGGGCCAAGCCCAGATTTTATTTATTTATGAAGAAAGGAGTGGCTCGAGGAGGAGTGACTGTGAGGGTGGTGGGAAGTATATGAGTGCTGTGAGCTGGGCTAGGTAAGTGATCTGAAATCACCTCTGCAATATATGGAGAGGATGATATGCAAAAGGAGTAATCTATATAACACAATTTGAGGTAGTGTCTAATGTTTTTGGGATCAGTAATCTATATAACACAATTTGAGGTAGTGTCTAATGTTTTGGGGATCAGTGCTTCAGCTCTGATGTGTAATTTTTATGCCCTGGGAATAGCCTCTTATCTCGAGGTTTGATCCCAGCTGGTAGCATGGAGCATATCTCTCCCTCTCACCCAGCTCACACATGTTTTTTCGGAGCTATGCGGCGGGGTAACGCTGATCTGTCACCTTGCTTCAAAGACTACACATCAGCACCTTGGCTAGACCGATTTGCTTTGCTTAAAGCCAATGAAAGGGATAAGGAAAAGCCCTGGCCAGCTCTATACATATCAGTACATGGAAATAGGGCCAGGTTTAGCCAAAATGGTGATAATTGCTCTTCTTTCAAGGAGAGTCATCTAGGTGGTCCTTCACAACCACAGGCTCAAAAGCACCAGGGCCACACTACTATGAACTGAAACCTCTAAAATCATGAACCAAAATAACTTTTCCTCCTTATAAGTTCATTTGTCTCAGATGTTTTGTCACAGCAACAGAAATCTGACTAACACAGTCAGTCCATACTATAATCGGAGGCAGCATCACTGGCCCGGGAAAAAACTACTAAAGAAGGGTAGGATTCTGTTCTTCTCCCCAAATCCTGTCAGGAACCTCACCTTGACCTATGGACCTTGGAGTCATAAGGGAGAAAACAAGCCCAGGTCAGGTTGTGACTCCAGATTTTGGTGGAAGAAGAGGCACACACCTGGAATTTTCTCAGGTCTGGAATCTTGACTTCTACTTCATTAGAAAAGCAGTAAAATAGGTTAACAGACCAGGTTAAAACTCAGCTGTATGGTGCTTTAAGTCCCTGCCTTGTCACTCACAAACTATCAGGTCTTAGCCATGTTACTGTCGCTCTGGGACTAAACTTTCTCAACTATAAAGTAGGAATAAAACTAATGTCCTCCTGCCAGATTAGATGAAATAAGACCAGGGATAGAAAGTCCCCCACCCAGGCTATAGCACATGATAAAATCTTATTCAAGTTGCTGTCACTCCTGCACCCTTTAGAGAGCCCAGGGGCTGTACCCTCTGCTCCCTGGCCCCACCTGACTTGGGAACCTCCCCTGGTCCGCCTGTACCCCAAATCAAATGTGAGTGCCATTTACAGGGTGCAAGAAGCAGCATTTGAAAAATGAAGTCTCTGTACTGCTCATGGATTTTCTATTTAAATGTACTGATCCCTAATTATAATCTCAGCAAGAAAGAAATGGCTGAGGACCAGCAGGGGTTGTCAAAGAGCAATTACTTGGCAATTTTCTTTCTTCCAGTGGAAGCAAACAGAGGTGGAGATGCGGAGAAAACAGGAGGAACTCAAATTTTCTACTCCTTTGCTTTTTCTGGGCTTAATGTCCTCTGCAGGGTTGGGTGGCTGCCTTGAAGCCGACTCAGCACTCTTCTTGGAGGACAAGCCACAGGATGGTGCCTGAGGGCAGGAGGAATGGGGAGTCCTGCGGGTGGGGACTTAGCACACTGACATCTTTAGGAAAGCAGACAGTCCTGCTCTCCTTTGTACTTCTAGGAGACAGGTAACAGTAGGCTATGGCGCCTATTTGGGAGGACTTTGTGTTTGTGTTTTAATGGTGTTTTGATGATTTGGATTTTTGCTT